TTTTTTTTGTACCAAGGACCAAACCCAAGGCCTTGAGCTACATCCCTTTTTAAATTTTTTATTTTTTATTTTAAGGCATAGTCTTGCTAAGTCATTAAGTTGCCCAGGTTGCCTTTGACCCTGAGAAGCTCCTGCACAGAGTGCTCAAATTGCATCCTGTGCCACCATACCTGGTTGATTTCTTTTTTGACTCTCTACCTGTGTTTCTTGTAAATGGCATTAAATCTCAAAGTTTGCCATCTTCTATTTGCTTCTTTCTTTATTGGCATGCCCCTATGTGTAGTGGTACATGGCATCCCCTTAATCTAGGAGAGGCTGCTGGTGTCTGCCATCTATCCTGTTATGGTATTATGGTTGCCCAGTGTTGTCAGCTTGACCCATCATTTACCAAGTCCCCATCAGCTTCTCTCCACTGTGAGTGTCACACATGCTGGTGTCCATTGCTCCTCATCCCATTCAGAGTAATCTGCAGGGCAGGGACAGTCTCTGGCTCTTTTATTAGTACAGAGTCTACAGGGTCTCACTACACAAATCAGACTTGTAGCGATCCTCCTGTTTTCAGCTTCCCAAGCCCTGGTGTTACAGGCGCATGCCACCATTGCCCAGTCTCAGTCACAGTCCCTGATCCCTGCGTCTGCTGTCTGGCTAGCCCTCTTTTTTGCCTCTAGTGACAGGTGAGCTGCCAACAGATGGGAATGTGACTGTGTGAATGCATCAAGGTCATCCTGGCAGCTAAAAACTACATGAGGCAAAGGACAGACACCTACATTGACAGACACCTCCATTAGGGCCTGAGTGGCAGCTGAGACCAGGAAGGCAAGTGGCTTTCCCTGCCTACCAGGGGAGAAGGTACAGACAGGGTGTCGCCAGCTGAGATTTTATGTAGATAGTGCTAGTAAGGCTCCAGTAGAGGATGGAAGGTGTGAGAAAGAGGCCCAGAAGTACCTTCACAAAGAAAAAGGGTCTCAGAGAAGGGGAACAGATGGTGGGCTAGGTGTCAGGTTTCCTTTCCAGTGTAGCAAGGAGATGTGTGAGCCAGGGTTCCCCAGAGGAGAGGGAGAGAAGGAGTGAAGGAGGGAGGGATAGAGAGAGTACAAGGAATTGGTAGGTCCTAACATGCACAGCTGAGTCAGCAGCTGCAGCCAGGAGAGTCAAGAGTGCAGTTCCAATTGGCAGTGCTGGGCTCCTGGCCCAAGAAGAGCCCATGTCCTAGCTCACTGGCTGTCAGGCAAGAACTCTTGCTTGAGAGAGGTTTGACCCTCCTGTTCTGTCCAGGCCTTCATCTGATTAGATGCAGCCCACCACGTTAGGAGGGACACCTGTCTTCTGATTCAAATGTAGGTCTGATCGAGAAACATACTCCAAGTTACACACACTTACTGTGCATTTGGGCATTCCCTGGCCAGTCAAGATGTCACAGAAGTAGGCACATGAAAGGTAAAGGCCAGAGATACAACACATCAAAATTATGACCCATTTAAAGAGTAACATCAAGACCTCTGTATAGTATGTCATAGGAATTTCCAATAATAAAGACTTCAGATCTCACCTGTAAAACAAAAGGAGCAGAGGCTAGAGATGTAGTTCTGTATTACAATGCTTGTCTAGAATGTGCAAGGCCCTAGGCTTAATCCTCAAACCCACAAACAAGGGAAGGCTTTCCACTATTATAAG